TCATCCTCTGGGCATTGTGGATATCTGTTTCAAATTTAATGGCAATCAATCCGACAGTTGTTGAGTATTTCAGTCCGGACCAACGTGGTGGACTGACTGACTGGCTGACAGGTTTTGTATGATTTTAAACTTCTCATCTTTGGGATGGGGACTGCTAACCCCATAAAACAAGCAATTCTAAGACCTTAGACTTTGGGCAAGTCTTATTCATTTTTCACAATTTTCTGACATTTCATTCAGTAGCCTTAAACCATTCATGAATTAATTAAAGCACTCCTAATGCATCCTTCATGATGAATGTGTAGCTACAACTAACTTCTTCTGTCCTGTGCGTCGTCTCCCCTGTCTTTCTCCCTCCAGGGCCGTACTACAACCCCAGACCGAGGCAGCGCATCCCCAGGGACTTGGCCATGTGTGTGACTCCCAGCGGACAGTTCTACTGCTCCATGTGCAACTGCGGAGCCGAGCAGGAGACAGACTTCAGGCAGCACCTGGAGAGCAAGCAGCACAAGGCAAAAGTGTCAGAGTTAAGATACCGCCATGAGATGGAGAACCTCGGCTACAGCTAAGAGAAACAAGAGGGGAGGGAGGGGAGAGAAAAGAAAGAGATTACAGTGGGACAGAACAGGTGGAGAGACAAAGACCAAAGTGCAGGAAATCAAATACTAGCTTGTGGTTGAAGGGAATATTTAGTGAAGGGATTAGCCCAAATGGCCTCAAGATCTTGTTGCAATTCATTTGATATACGCTTAAACATTTAAATCCTCATATTTGACATAATGCTCTACCATATGAAGCTATAATTGGATTTGATGGATTTATTTCATCTGAGTATTGCTCTTGAAATTGAGTCTGAGTATTGAAGCAAGCTGCAACGTGAATACAGAGAACAGGAATGTTTTTTTTCAGACACTGAATCAGATTACACTTTTGACTGATTGCATTCTGACTTCAGGATACAGGTAAATGCAAATGAATTGCATGTAAATCTTGAGCTTGTTCAGGCTACAGGGAGAGACACAGAGAGCCAACATGGGAACCATTAGGAAAGACTAGGACAAACAGAAGATTCACGCGTTGAAAGAGAATGCAAAATGTGAAAAATAGAGAGGAACTGGTTGAAGTAAAAGAAAAAATGGAGGCAAACACTTGGGGTTGGAACAAGTCTCATCCTTGGGAAAACAATCATCATCACTGAGAACAAAGTTTGAGACTTGTTTCAATTGATGAGTGTGAATGAGCCCCTACAGGTATTTTTTTTACAGGCCCTACAGCAGGGACATCAGGGCCACTTACTGTAGTGACCACTGAGCCACAAATTCAACATCTTTCAAACCTTGCACAGGTAATAAAATCCAAAGCACTATTCGCTAATTTCAAAAAAGACAAAGCACAGCGAACAACATCATCTGGTAGAAACAGTGTTAAATGAATCTTTTTGGTGTGTATCAGGCTGAAGGCTACACCCTGGCTAGCCTTGTTTGTGCCTTTAGTGAGAATTAAGCTAAAGAGTAAACTTTGGCTAGCCATTTTGACATAATAGTGGAAAATATTCTGCAGTATTGATTGGGTTTTTCTAGATTGTGTGTCAACTCTTTTCTTGTGATAAATCCACATAAATATTGTGTAAATATTCTCAAACATAATTATAGATGTAAATATAGGATAATATACATGAATACAATTGATTCTTTGGTTAATGTTAGCCTAGCGTATATTGTAAATACTCAATCTATTTAATAATTATCAGGAATCTTGTACAAACTGTGCACTGTCTGAATGTCTACCCATCAGCACTGTATGTTTGTGTGTGGATTTTACTCTAGGCCCTCTATAGCGCTTCGGGCGATGCCCTTTTTTCACTGATAAAGTAACTCTGGTATCATCCGTCTAGTTAAAAGCTGCTAGTCATTAGACTGTGCTGGAGTCTCTGAGGCTTCTTTAGAAGCCTTAATCTTTGTCTTCACAACACACCCAAACTGGCACTGTGATGGGAGGAAATGTGCAAACACAATGGGAACTCAAAGTGACGCGTGCAGCCAAAAGCATTTAACTCCAAACTTTTAACTAGTTGGAAAATTGCAAATGAGCGTGTGCAGAGTTTCTGCAAGTTTCTGGTTGTAAGACATATCGTTTAATTCTCACCATCAATCTTGATTTCCAGAGGACACATAACCAGGTTTTACTGCAGTGTTAAGCGGCTGCAGAGGAGTGACGTGGTTCTTGTCTGGATTTGTCGACAGATCTTTTTTTTTATGTTGTTTTGTTTTTCACCTTGTATGACCCAGGTCCAGCTGTTTGTCAGTGTTAAGCCCATCCTGAAAAGATCAGTTACGTAATCCGAATCAAATTAGATTTTCTGTTTCTGTTTATTTGATTATCTGTTCCAGTTCAGTGCGACTGAGCTGAATACCGTGCAGTCACAAGGCAGTTGGACTAATACTGTCATACTTGACTAAATGACTAAAGAAGACAATGACAAGGTCATAAAATCTAAACCTTCGTTGTTTGAAACGACTAACTCTTGTCTTTTAAATACTTATTTATAGATTGTTGTGGCTTTAATCCTTTAAATAGAAAAACTAATATTTTATTCATGCCTCAAAAGTCATTTTATGGAGCAGTTGAAAGGATTTTCCATCTAGATTTTCAGATCTCAACATGGTTCACCTCGTAAACGCGGATGGAGATCTGTAGTTCAGAGGAGAAGAAAAAGCTTCCTGTCCCACTTTAAATTTGGTTTTCCAACGTTCCCTGCAGAACAGCAGTGCACGCACACACACACACACACACACACACACGCACACACTTTTACATAATTGAATCAGTCAAACGACAGTTTGGGTCACGTAATCGGATGTGGTATAAAGTGAAATAAAAGCAGCACCCTAGTTTAGTTAGGTGTGGGGAGAGGCAGCTGTTCACATATTTTGTTTGTCTCTAGAGCACAACCACACACCTGATCACAGACATGAGGAAACTCAGGAGAAAAGCACTGTGAGGACAAAGTACTGTGGTTTTTAGGGATTTAAACACATGAGAGAGGGTGAAAGACAAACAGAACATAGAAAACTAAATGCCTGGCTGTTTTATTAGCCCACTGTGCTGTATGGTTTCATAAAAAAGTAACAAAGGAGCTGACGAAAGCAGAGCTGAGACTGAGTTACAGACTGTTATTAGCAATCCTCCTCCTAGGAATAACACTCTTTGTCTTACATGAAAGAACAAGTAGCATTACCTTTTATTAGGTTGACAGGCTCACACTCCAATGAAGCTACTGAACACCTTGCATGGAATAATAAGCTGCAAAGGAATGGAGGAAATGAGATCGTAGGAAACTATTAAGACCTCGTCACAGGTTATGGCCTTTGTGTGGACAACCAAAGCTTGATTTTTTCCAAGTCAGATTGTGTCTTTGAACAAGACGGGCAACTGCCCTGGGGCCCCAAACCCACAGAGGTCCCAAAAGACCCAGGGTCACTGCAAGCCGATTACATTTTGTACTTTGATACATTTAAAAGTTGTTAGGAATTTTGCACAGTTTCTGTACTTCTAAGGCAGGTTTTTGCAATATTAGTTAATCTTGTCCTGTCCTGTTTTGTAGAGAAACCTTGCGTCAAAACTTAGTTTTTAGGCTTGTTAAGAACTATTTTTTAGTTTATATTGTGCTCACATGTTGCATATTCCTTCTTAGAGTCTTTTTTAAGCAAACCACCTAACCTACACATTGAAAACATTTTTTTTCCATTGAAGATTATTTTTTGTCATTATTGGAAATACAATATTGAAAAAGCATACAGGAAACAAGGGAAGGTGTATGACGACCAGCACAGGTCCCTGGTCCCATCCTAACCTATCCTGTCGCCAGGTGGCATCGTTCCAGCAGATCAGTGCTTGGTTTCTGGGCAAATAATGAAGCTACCATGTATAGTTTGCTGATTGCACTGTGCATAATGGAAACTTGGAGGCAATCGGATACAAAACACTATTCCCTGTAGGGTGAGAGGTGGGGGGTCAATATGGTCCCAAAAGTAAATTTCTGCTCTGGCTTAACAGGCTAATCTGACGTCCGAGGTGACATTGTCCCAGTATTTCAGAAAAAAACAACAAACAACTGACTATATAACAACTATCACAGCAATGGTTGTAGATATAAAAGATCACTGGCCCTCCACTATAGCAGTCGGGACAACGAAGGAGGCCACAAGAAGACTTTCATAAGAATAAAATTCTGAAAAATGTATGGCGATTCAAATTTTGTTAATTTAAGAGTTTTTAAAGGGAACGACTCAAAAAGTGTCAATCTATTGGTATTTTCACGAGGCAGTAATTGAAAATAAATGAAATAGCCTGAAATAACATAGTAAACACCATTTGTAGTTAATGGGCTAAAACATGCCAAACCACCAGTAAACTGCTCCTTTTAAACAGGACTATGTTTGGATTGGTATTGCTGCAGTTAAACACCAGTCTGCATTTAAGGATCTTCATTGGTTGCACAAAGGTTTTAAGCAGTCGAAAGCCAACAAAATCAAGATACCACTCTGGTAAATGAAGGCATCTATAGGGCCATTAACTGTTAATAGGTTTAATATTTCGGCAATCTGCACATTTATTTGCTCTGTATTCACTGAAATTGATAAGATTGCTTTAATGCTTCTGGAAAGACTTTAGTTGTTGTCTGGTCTGGTAATATGCTGAAATAGTTCAAATACCCGGGTGCTGTTTCCGTTTGCTTTGTTCTAACTGTGTTTACTTGTTAGATAACTGTAACAGATGGTAACTGTATTACACTGACAATGATTGGTTTCATTGTTGTTAACCAATGCTGTTATCTGAACGCTGATGTGTTTCAGCACCATAACTTCAGTTGAACGTCAGTGCTTTGTTGTAAATGACAGAAAAGTGTTACATATTGCACCATATAAGTTGTACCTGGTTTATTTTGTGCATGATTAAGTCATACTTAATAACCGTAGAGATGTTTCTACTATGGAGAGAAATTATGACAGTCAGAATGCTGTTCAAGAATGTTTTTTTTCTGAGGTTTACATGTTTGGAAATGTCTGTATTCTGTGATGATTCTACTAAAGGGCATCGAAAAGAATCACGATTTTGCACTCAATATAAAAGACACCTGTAAGAAAAGTATGCTACCGTATGTTGTTTAGTTCAAGTGAAGACTTTGCTACCATTGTTATTATTTGCTCTGAACAATTTGTATCCTAATGTTTACAAGGTGAGAAATTGGAGCCGTTATGGATGTGTATCATATTTATCCATGTGTTGCACTATTGGACTGATCAGACCAGGGCAGATGGGCAACATAGATTTTCTTGCCGTGACTTAGAGATTGCTTAAGATTAATAGTGTTTAACTAAAGCCAGGAGGTGATTAGGTTATCTTAGCATAAGGGCTGGAAACGGGGAAATGACAAAAAACATCTGCCAACCAACACGTCTCAAGCCAGGCGGCAACCTCCGGTTCTACCGAGTGAAGCCAATGCGGAAGTGTCATAAAACTTGCATTCTCTCTACCGGCCAGCAGAGGACGACTCCTTGGTTGCAAAAACATGTCCGATTGTATGGAAGTCTTTGAGAAAATGACCCTACTTCTCACTTGATTTATTACCTCAGTAAACATTGGAAACATGAGTTTACGTCACTCCTCCGCATTCCAAATATAGTAATTTCCATTCACCGGTTGCAAAAAGTCAAGATGGCAACACAAAAAATTGACGAACTAGGGGGTTCATAACGGTAGTCCACAAACCAATGGGTTACGTCACGATGATTACGTCCTCTTAATATAAACAGTCTATGGTCTAAAAGCTTACTAATTAACACGTGTCTCATTCGTTCGTGGTCTCACTCGTGTACTCTGTGGTGTCAGGTGGAGGTATGTAGTGCAGCTATTTTTGGCAACCTTGCAGTGACAACAACCTGCTCAAGTATTTGGCCGAGATTGACATTAATTACTTAAAGTACTTAGAAAAGAGGCCAAAACTTTGCGAAGAAGAAGTGTGTGATTTAATTAATTAGGAAGATTTAGACATGCTGGTAGCAGATTGTTTAACTTTAGAGAGAGCAAGGCTAGCTGTTTCCCCCATGCTTACAGTCTTTAAGCTAAGCACCTCCTGGCTCCAGCTCCATGGCCAGAAAGAGAATAGAATATGTTGCAAAATGTCACACTATTCCTTTAAAACTGTCTGTTTTTTTCTGCATATATAGAATGTGCTTGTCCACTTCAGCTGTATAGATTTCTAATGTTGTCACTCAATCAAAACATAGGGGACGCTTGTCTCACATGAAAGCCCATGTATCCTGGTCTACAGACTGAGTCAGTCTTTTACACTGACAGAATTCAGGACCCCTCACCTCCATCTACTGTCAGGGGCCCCAAAACCCCCTAGTAGCTCCCCCTGCAGGGCAGTATATACTGGTGTACCCTCTGTGAAAACCTCAGCACACTTTCAGTGCCTCTAATCAATGTTGCCAATATACCGCTGACTGACTGACTGGATGGATGCCTGAACGACTGATATACTGATATACTGAGGCTGTGTGTGTTTTTTGACAGATGAATAAACGTGCAGATGATATTAATGACCAAGCTGAGTTGATGATTATTACAGTGAATGTGTGTCTCATGTGTTCCCTTCCATGGCTCAGCTCATAGCGCTCTGGGGGAAATAACCACTCTGTGAGTTGATGCTGTTATTGTCTCTCGGGGAGGAGAAGCTCTCAGTAGCCTAGTTTCCACTGCACTGATAGCCAAGCTTTACTCATTATATTACTTCTGCCACAAAAGCTGTTCTTGTGCCCCTGGTAGTTTGTTTGTTTGACTGTCAGCAGGATATCTCACAAATCTTATCAACAGATTGCCTGAAATGTGGTGTACTGGCCTCAGGTTTAACTTTGGATATCTGCCTTTGGATGGTTCTTTCTCTTATTTTCAACTATGAAAACAGTGCTTGAATTTGGCCAGTACTCAGCAGTATGAGTGCTGGCACATTGATGTCTGTCCAACTTCTGTATTAGTGCAGTACAAAATAAACGTATAAAGGTACTAATGCTGTAGTTACAGTAAGTGTTTGGCAAAATATGCCTGATTCCAACTCAAACCGGCATTAAGAGGAGGCACTTCGATATATTGCAGTGCCCGTTCAAAGCATGGGCCTGTTCTGAACAGGCCCAGTGCTTAGCCCCTGGTGTTGCTGCTTGCAGCTTTCTGGAGAACCGCTCATACAAACAACTTCTCACTCAACACTGCGCTTTCTTGGGTCCCCAGCAATATACATGTTATGACATATAGTAGTTGCATCACACACCCAAGTCGTGGTTACTCACGGGTCATTTTCCTAGGGTGTTAAAATTGATGTGCTTTGCTCCCTGATATATAAATTATATATATATTTTGAATGCCTTTTTTTAATTTGTATTTTATATCTCACATGTACCACAAAAATAGAGGCTTGACAACGACAGACACATTGCCGACTTCTCCGATTCCAGTCATCCAGGCCCTGTTGTGTCAGTAAGGCAAACAGTTGTTTAGACATTTACGAGGAAGAGATGACCCCTCTGTGGAAACTGGATTATTCCTGGAAGAGACACACAAACGCAAACACAAACACAAACACACACACAAAGAGAGACAGAAATAGAGAGTGCCAGTATTTTGTCAGTGGTCTTTGTTCCACTGTTAAAACAAAGCAGTGGAGGAAGAGGGGTGGGGGGTAAAAACAGAAAGTCAAACAGTGAGTAGATGCAAAACTGCAAACAAATAGCTGCAGGGTGCCATTTGAAGGACATTAAAACGTGTTTGTACTGTGCATTTCTGAAGAATAGTGGCTGAATATATGCCTATAACGTGTTAAAGGTTCAGGATATTGAGGCTAAAATATTTCCCAGCAGTCTTTGCAACGAATATCTATGATTATCATTATTAACCTTTTGATTCTATACTCAAACATTACCGTGACATTACTTACTTGGATGACATTTGCTATAAAAAAAAAAAAAGGAAAAATAATTTAGATCGATAGATAGATAGTTTATTTATCCTCGGGGGAAGTTTGCATGTCACAGCAGCAGTACATGAATGAACCACATGGTACACAGAATAATGCAAAACAGAATGTCAAACACTAGTACTAACATAAAAGTAACAAAGTATTTCCTTTTAAACATGTGCATGCATACAAGTGTGCAAACTGCTATAATGCAAAAAGAACTTGCAGAAACGTTTGCTACTCTTGACGGGCACCCTGTAAGTATTATATATTTACAATTTTACAGCACACTTTTGTCTCAGAACTTCAGAACATTATAGCAGTTAGGTTTTTGCACAGCTAAAACTCTTGTAGAACAATTTATAACGGGCTGTAAAATAAAATACTTTTGAGAATCAAATGACCGGTACATTACAGGAAGTTGAAAGGGTCTAAAAAGTGACTCCTTGGGTACTGGAGCTGCAACGACTATTTGCTTAATCAATAAATTGTCTAACAGAAAAGTAAACTGAAACACCAAACTATTAATCAATTAATCTTAGAAACAATTGGTCGACTGATTAATAAATAAGAACCATTAGGTACAATAATCATAACTGTGGATGAAATGTGGCTTTGGTACACACTGACTTACATCAAAAAAGGCACACTGGGTGATTTCCTTTCATCAGTTATTCATTTTGCATCTAGACCTGCAAACATGCATGTCACACAGTTGTCACTAATACATTATCATTCACTATTTAATATTTAGACAAAGTATGTTTTTTAATTAAAAAGTGCATTTCCTACTATGACTAAAAGGGATCTGTTTTGACATTTTTGTTATTTAGCACCCACCCTTGGTCATGACAGTGTAAGACATGTGCTGTGGTTTTGTATACGACTGTAAACGCTCAGTAGAAATGAGTGACATGGACCCTAGAGATTTACGGTGGCAGATGTTTAAATGCAACCTTTAAATAGATGTGTTCACTGTTTTAGCATTTACTATTATCACATAGGCTCAATTTATGTGCTTTCAAATATTCAGCTATCAGAGATTGTATCATTGTGATATAAATGTGACGGTGGTACTAAGCAGTGGCATTTAGCAACAGTCATTAGTAACCTTTATAGTATTCTCATAACTCATAATTAAACACCACATCAGTTAATCTGGGAATTTTGTAAATACATTTGGTGCAGGTGGGGAGATGCTGTTTCATATCAGTGTCATATCACTGAGATTTCTATCTACTGGATAGAAATCTCAGTCCAGCTCTCATTTGGATTGTTACCATGAACACACACAGGCGTATGACAGTAACAGGAAGAGAGAGGAAGATGTTCCCACCCTTCCTGCTCCCAGACTTATCCCCCTGACTGACAATGAGCAACAGATTAAACGTGTGAAATGAGGTCACGGCTGCAAACAACACTGTCTTACTCTCAACACAGTCAGCAGAGTTAATGTTGCAGTTTCACCCCGCACAGTGTTGTCTTGCTTAATTGGGGAGATGGGATGATTGTGTTTGGAAGAAGAAAAGAGGCCGTCATACTTGTAGTACTGCAAGTGAGACTGTGGCGCCATCTGCTGCCAAAAATATAGCAGTGAATAAAAAGTGAATGAAGTTACAATACTGCCATCATGTGGAGGTTTAGCATGAAACTCGTGCTTTGACACATGCATTTGTGGATAAACACTGAGGTCACAGAACCAGCTGTTATAATCTTTCTCTCATAAAGTTATTGCACAACTTAATTTTGCTTTTCATGTGTGCAGTCTCTCTGCGTTGCCTACACTGAATCAATCAAATGTCATTTAACAAGGAAGCTGCAATAATAATGATTAGTACTACTTGATAACAGAAACAAACGAGTCTGAAATAGAGTTTTTAGATTGGAAGGAGCTGATTGGCTCGCCTGAAATCTGTGTAACCATGATGCCAACGGGCAGCAGACACAGGTAGAAAACCTCTGTCATTTGTTAAAAGTTAAGCATTTTGAAGAGTAAAAGTAGGTTTTATATGTTATTACTATTGTTAATAAGTATTGTAATACAGACTAGTGTTGCATAGATATGTGCACCTTGTTGCAGACTGCCGTATTGAACATGCTATTCAAGTATGGGGGTTGGCACTATCAGTGTGAGTATGTTTGATAGTGACTTTTATGTGGTGGAAAGTCATGTTGAAGCACTCTGTACACAGCCCAGAGGATGATCCTGCAAAATGATCCTTTTTATTTATTTATTTATTTAATGTTATGTAGAATAGTTAAAAGTGCAAACAGTAAATAATCTTAAAGGATGTTACATAGTTTAGTGGCGTTACTGTCATGACAACAGAGCCATGCAGCAATAAAGTCAAAGTTCAATGTAAATCAACTCCTTTAACAGTCGGACTCATCACACGTCTCAACACTAGAGCCTGAAACATTCAAAGTTTAAGAGGCCTTAAATAAATAAATAAATTGATGATATATTTGCACAAGTAGACCAATGACATTAGGTAATACCCCTAAACTGACATTGTACATTATACAACGTGAACAATGGCAAATTAATTATACTTTGTGCACGGACCTTGCATGTGTTTTGGGCTTTTTCTGTATGAATTGTGACAAAATTATTTGTTGGCGCGTCTGTAGCAAAAGCCATTTATCCTACAATATTTATACTGTCCAGATTCTAGAGGTGGAAAGTAACAAAGTGCATTTACTACTTGAGTAGTACTCAAATTAAGTTATGAAGTACTTGTACTTTACTTGATTCTTTCCATTGCATGCTACTTTATACACCACCACATTTTGGAAACCAATATTGTTTTTACACTGCTAAATGTATCTGTTTGTTACTTTGCAGCTTCCGATTATCATTACAAAATAAAGTAATTAATAATGATGAATTATTGTGGAATACGTTATTATGATTTAGATCTGATTCCACCACCAGATTCAAACTGTGTTGATATGATAACTATTTGGCAGAGATGTTCCACATCGTTATCGCTTCTTTTATACTAATTGCATATTTTTTTCTTAAGTTAAAATCAGCATTTATGTGCATTGTCAGGTATTTGTTAAAAGTGCACTTAGTAATCAAACTGAACTGAACACAGCATACCATGTGCAACATTTGTTTACGTCATTCCCTCCATGGCCGGTGGCCAGTGGGTGGCGGTAAAGGTAGCTGAAGCACCAAGTTGGGTACTATAGGCTCTTTTCTCAGAAGCCTTTTTGACATATCAATTGCAGGATAAACACAGGTGTAATTAATCACATTAATGATGGCCCTGTTGCATTTAGGTGGTATTTCGTCCTGGTATTGTGCATGCTGGCTCACTGGAATGAACGTGACGCACTAAACAGAATGGGACCATAATTAATGTGTATCAATTAAACCTGTGTTTACCCTGATGTGACATGTCAAAATGGCAGCTGTGAAAAGGGCCTATTGGTAGGCAGAGCAGGCACTGTTTTCAAAGTGTTTCCCGTGATGAGATGTTGGCAGTCTGGTGAGGCACATCCAGCAGAACAGCTGACTGCACTGAGTGCACGTCATTACGTTACATCCACCGTTCTTCTACAACACAACAACACACGCATTACCAAAGACGCAGTGGTCTAAAACAGTCCGAGCATTACAATGTGTCTGTAAACACATGCTTGTCTGTGCTCATGTGTATGTGTGCAAATAAGTGTGAATAGGTGAAGAACTGAATACCTGTATATTCCTGAAGCAGTGAGGACAGTTCTTGCTATTGAAGGTTATCCAGTCTTCACTCAGACACTCCTCCACAGTGCCCCGCATTATACTGCGGCCGTACCTGGTCTCCAGGAGGCGCTGCCTCTGCTTACTGCCACTGGCATAGTCGTCCCACAGAGCCATCAACCCCTCTGAGACACACACAGAGCACTGCTTCAGATATACATCTGCATCCACACAAACCAGTGGTGGAATGTAACGAGGCACACTAAAGTTCTGTACTTAATTACAAATTGGAGGTTTTATGTCTCTTTCCTGCGGCTACATTTCAGAGGAAAAATTGCGCTTTTTACTCCACTACAATTATTTGACAGCTTTAGTTACTAGTGACTTTACAAATGAAGGAGTCTGCATTCAACATCTACAAGGAGTTTTGTTACAAATTAAAAAACACAAAAATACACCCAAGCAAACACGCGTATGCTTGTACCTTGTGACTGTGGCAGGTCTGCATTGGCTTGCTGTGCTTCCTGTATTTTCCTGTTCCTCTTTTCCGGACACCCATCTGTCCCATGGTAGGTCTTCCTGCAGTTGACGCAGAACGCAAAGCTGCACACAGAGCACTGGGCTGCAGCGCTGGATTTCTCCACAATGACGGCCGAACCACAGAAACGTCGAGGACAGTACACCACATCTACGGGGAGGGGAGGAAAGAAGAGACATGAGCAGAGACCCCTCCATGAACCTACTGTAAAATTAAATTAGTTTTAAATAACAAGAACAGGCAAAAAAAATGTTTATTGTCACATGCTTGAACTCAAAAAACACATTTAAATACACTCCTGCAGTGAATCTATTCAATTCTTTGACTTCTCCAGGGAAACTGCTACATCCTTAACTCTGGTCATTGTGATGTATAAGGTTTTGAATACATCCTCAGTTCAAACAAGAATACAGGGGAAACATACCAGCCATGCAGTCCAGAGTAGATTGTAGCAGGAGACGATCATAGCGGCTGAACAGCTCCTCCCCTACCAGACACTTCACCTAACAAACAGGGCAGACATTTGTTGAATGATGCTGGTTTTGGTGTAGAGTATCTCTGCATACACGCATAAGTAATAAGAAAATGCATGTGAGAAAATGCAGAAATTTAAAAAAAAAACAGTATCACATCCACATCTCCAGTGGTGGATAGTAACTCTTTTAACATTTTCTCGAGTACTGTACATTGGTACAGTTTTGAGGTACTTTCTGTTCTACGCTACTTTATACTTTTACTCCAATACATTTTACAGGAAAATATTGTATTTTTTACTCCACTGTATATTTATTATTATAGTGAATTAGTTGCTTACAGATTTAAAATAATTACACAAAACATGTCATCTTACTCAATATGATGCATTGTTTGAGATGAAAATGTCCACCACAATGTATAAAGTAGCAAAAATGTGCGTCAGCAGCATTAGAAGAATAATTACATGTCAAACAGTCAATAATAATATAATAATATAAATTCCATTTTGCACGAGTATTTTTACTTTTGATGTTTTAAGTACATTTAAGTAACACCTCTCCACTGTATTTTCAATGCAGACCTTTTACTTGTAATGTATTTTCAAATTGTAGTATTGCTACTTTTACTTAAAGGGACAGTGTGTAGCATTTAGGGGATCTATTAGCAGGAATGGAGTATACTATTCATAACTATGTTTTCATTCGTGTGTAATCCCCTGAATATAAGAATTGTTGTGTTTTAGTTTGCTTAAAATGAGCCCTGCACACCCGGCAGCGGGTCCTCTTCACAGAGTCCACCGTGTTACACCGTCATGTTTCTACAGTAACCCAGAACGGACAAACACAACTCTAGAGAGAGCCTTTCACGTTTCTACGTTACCTGAAGGCCACTGTAGTCCTCTGACATGCTTGTGAAACCGTCTGACTTCCTTTGCTCCGAAAGGAGTGTTATTATGGTAAGGATAACCTCTGAGCTTGACCAACGGCGTTACCACGGTTTTGCACTCAGCGGCTCTCGTAACCGGAGGCTTGGAAAGGAAGGACTGAACAGAGGCGTATTCAGCTGGATGCAATCTGCAACCACACCGCTAGATGCCACCAAATCCTGCACACTGTCCCTTTAAGTTAAAGATCAAAGTACTTCTTTCAGCACAGTTGTAAAAGAAAACAATCTTCCCCATTATCCTAAAGTCCCGAAAGCACAAGAAAGAGCTTCAAAAAGAAACTGTAGTTGGGCGGGAGAAGAGACAGACAGATCAGCACCGTACCTGTGAAGGTGTTGGGGTGGCAGAGCAGTCTGCCTCGGGACAGGTGACACCCTTGACGTTGCCCTCTGTTATCTGGAGCGTGCAGAACTTGGTGAGACAGGCCTTGCAGAAGATGTGGCCACACTCGGGCAAATGGACACAGTCTGAACCCAGGAAGCTCACAAAACACACACCACAGTCAAACACCTTGGCTAAAAACGCTTTCTGTGTCTGAGTCGCATTATGGATCAAGAGCTGGGACAGGAGAGTTTGGGACGGAGTTAGCGAAAGACCCGAGCGGGCTCGGTCTTCATTCTGAGGGGATTCTCTTGGGCAGATGGGCAGAGAAGCAGCTCCTTGTTCACTTTGATCCAGAGGGTCTGAGGAGCCAGGGGGAAGTAACAGTGAGGCTGACACATCGCCGTCATTTAAGAAATCTTCTTGGCCACTTTGATCTGACGAAGCAAATGGAGGATGCTTTGACTTGCCTGCCACTGAGGACAGATCATTCTGGTAGTCGGGCTGAAACTCTGAGGTTGGGAGGGTCTGCTCAGCCTCCCTTGGGTCTGTGCTGCTCCAGTCCGAGGTTGAAGGATCTTGGCCATCAGCAAGAATCCCTATCGGATGCTCAACTTCCAAGGATGGTGCAGAGAGTTCTAGTTTACAAAGGTCTAAGACAGCACGACTTTGGCTATATGTGGCTCCTGACTTTGGAATGTGTTGATTGTTCTTTGGCTCTGAGAGTGCAGCGTTTCCTGAGTCCTGGCTATCGTACTGGGTGCTGGGTTCATCAGAGGGGAGCTCCAGCAGGGTATGGATGTCCAGGAACCTGAGGGCATCTTCTTTAAGAAACTGCACCCAGGTGAAGAGCACCACAGCGCCCCCCATGGCCTGGTAGAGACTGGTGAGCTGAGCACCCAGCACAGAGAGCTGTGGGAGGTGAGGGCAAAAGGACTGATGTAATCTTTATTGACCCTCTGCAATCTGCATTCATCTCTCTCTCTGTCTTTGTGAGCCTATAGGCAGGTTGTAAACAGTAATGTTTTTATTTACCCACATTGCCTGGCTTCTATTGATTACCTGTGTATGTGTCAGCCAGCTGCAGGTGAGGGAGAAGGAGGGAGCGGAGGAGGACGGGTAGTCCTCAGGTAGTTCAAAGGTCAGAAGCAAAGGTGGAAGGAATGATATCTCATACTGCCTCAGGGTTTCACCTTCGAAAAAAAAACAACGATAAGACAACATGACCAAAGTAAGATCAATATTAAATTCCAAAACATTTCTACATTATTTATCACGCTCTCACACAGCCTGCTGTGGACACTGATGCATAACACTCCTCATGCCAAGCAAAGCTCATTATCCACACGCTTCTGTTCATGTCAATAAGGACATGTCTCTAACAAGCTTATTTACCTTCTTTCAGAGTCACAGTGAAGTCCGCAGGGAGCTCAACAGATACCCGGATTTCTCCGGCAGATTTCGATTCATCCCGGAGGAACTCCTCGGAATCAAAGATACTCTTGAGGGCGAGCAGTTCGTCTTCCTGCTCCTCCATGTCCGCGTTCATAGCTCCAGTCACAACAAACTCCACTTCCCGCTCGCAATGTCAGAGAAGCTGCTCGTTAGAGGAAGAAAAAAAAGTATTTTCCTGCTGGAGTTTTTTCTGAGCAGACGTCTGCAGTTGTTTCGGTGCCTTTGACTGCTCAAACAATAATTGATATTCTTTAGTGTAATGTTACAAATACTTCGGTGTTTATTGAGAGTCTGCATGCCAGCCTGCTCCCCGCCCCTGCTGACTCATCATTGTATGATGCAAGGCGCAGTACACAGCAGCAACCTCTCCCTGCTGCTGCTGTTATGTCAAACAGGCCACTATTATGTCATTTACGGTAATCATGTTATAGACGCCTTTCTTTCCACAAAAAAAAAAATCATTATGTTGTTAACGAAGCTCTGGGTAAGACGTTCAAACAAAAGTACGAGATATATTTGAGTTGTGCATTTAATACATTTTACAGATATCTAAGAAATGTATTGACATTGATGTACAAAGTACAGAATAGATGCAAGGAAGATTACTAGGTACATTTACTCAAGTAATAACATTTTAAACTACTTTATAAATTTTACAGAGGAAAATATTGTATTTTACTACATTTATTTGACAGTAACAAGTAAACAGATTAGAGAAAACTCCCAAACATCAATACAAATTTGTGAATAAGAACTTTGGTTGTTCTCCTTTTTCTCCCATTAGTCTTCTCACAATCGCTCACATTTATCTTGTATCGCACAAGTTGTGTCCCTTCAGAGGGGCCCGAGCCCTAGCTTGGGAACCACTGGACTAAGAGACCTACTAATATATAGAGTAAGTAAAACTCACTCCACCTCGACCAGCTACAAACATGTTGTTTGCATGTTGTTGTATCAGTATTAACAATCTAATAATGTCATATAAAAATATATCAGTCACAGGGGACTTTTTGATACTTTAAGTACAATTTGCTAATAATACTTCTGTACTTTTATTTGAATGAAATGGCAATTGAAAGCTCTAGAAAAGTGGAACTTTAGTTTTTCATACTTTTAACTGATTCATTCAAAGATCGACCAAAGGTATTATGGAAATTAAGATCACCAACTTTAATATCTTTAGTCAGAACAGATATAAAAGAAGGCATATGCCAAAATCTAGTTCCCACCAGATGATTCACATACATATGTAAATGTAGACATTCAGTGTTTCTGTGGCTTTAGTACAGATAGGGACGTACATTGTTACACTATTATTGTAATACTATAACAGATTGCAAACTCACAGGAATAAATATACCAAAGATAAAGGATTATGGCACAAAATATTGTCATCACCATTCAGCCAAATATATAAATTTAAGACTTAAAGAATCAGAGAAAGAAATGATGTAACAGAAGTGCATTGCAATATTAGGTTGATAAAGTTTTACTTCAGCTGTAATTAAGTATGTGACATTTTCGTATCAATCAGTTGTAGCTGTAGTTTTCATTCGGGTTGACTTTGCTCTCCAAGACATTCTCCGCCATGCCCATGGGCTTGGGGGCTGTGTGGGATTGGAACTTAACACTCGGGGGCCTCTGGACTGTTTTGGACTTCAACATAACCCTCTTCTGGATTCCATCAGCAGATGCTGGATTAAGAGAGAGACAGATAGACAAAGTATTTACATGATGAGTATTTCCCATGTATTGTACATCACAACCACAGATTCAAAACACCAAGACCAAAAATACACATTGTCATTTTATTAAAAGCTTATTTAGTGATATTTCTGGTCTGAGCGTCGGTAGGGTTTGGGGGCTGGTGTTGTGTGGTTTGTTGGGTTCTAACTGTTGGATGGAGAGGCTCTTATTCCCACCTGTCACCCGGATGCACTCTCCCTTGTGTCTTTCATCCCATGCTTTCAGTTTGCAGGCCCTGGAACAGTAGAAGACCTTGTGGCAGCGACATGCAGTCAGCTTCACGGACCGTGAGCGACCGCATTGATAGCAGAACTTAAACACTGGTTTCCTAAGAAAAGATTGACACAGACGGAAACAGGCTCCTGTAAGATTTGTGTTTCCTTGTTTTGCCTCTGGACTTTCAGACAAAACTTTCTTACAAATGGCAGGGACGAGAAAAATAAAAGGGACAAAATGAACATGAATATGTGTTTATGTGTACCTCTGCTTTTCTGTTATGGGTGATAGCCTTTCACAGCTGTGGAGGGACCTGTTTGAGGAAAAGGCACCTGCCCCTGTGTTACCTGTTACTCAAATACAGCACACATACATATGCATCGAATGACAACCAATCAAAAACATAGTCATATTTTTTGCCTTAAAAAATAAATATATATATATATGTATATATATGTCTTGTACTGACTCTTCAACGTAAGGCGTTGTTCTCTCTCTAAATTTTCTTTTTCTCTCTGGCCAGCAAGCTGTCTCAGCATATCTCCCATCATGCTCAGCAGCTGGTGCCGTGCTTTGAATGTTTCCCTCTCCCGCATGTTCAGAGCGTGGAAGGGAGTGATGGCAATACGCAAGTCCTATATAGAGTAACATACAACATACAGACAGCTATTCAGATGAAATCATGCCACGAAGAAATAAGCAATCAAAACAAAGTAATTAAAGCTTTCTCTCTGTGTATGAGTGCAAGTGTATACTATATAATCTTAGTTTAAAATGCCACATAGAGGACTTGATTCAACTCCTTCTGTGTCTACAGGGGCAAAATATTACAAGAGCATGTCAACAAAATGCAGTCCAGAACAACTCTTCCACTAACAATGAATAAGAACCAGAAGTTGAATCAACAACTCCCTGACACAGTCTCAAGAAAAACGAATGCTTATAATGTTTGCAAAAGTATGACAGATTGAAAGGCCTTTTGTAATTCGGTGTTTCTACAGTTACCTGGTTGAAGGAGTAGTGTGCATAGTCGACTGCGGTTCCCACAACATCACCAACCATAACTGGCATCAAGATGTCGGCACCAGCTTTAACTAACATGCCCAACTACATCAAAGACACACAAATACACACAATTTAACCGTATACTGACTCAATACAGAGATTGCTTTTTGCTCCAACTTAAAAACATATTTCTTTGCTTACTCTTTTTCTTATTATTCTTACTTAACTGTAATATTGAGGGATACAATCATTTCAATAATTATTTTTTAAGTTATATTAACTGTGACTCATTTGAATTCACTAAGAACAAAGTTAAATGTGTTGTTTTAAATGTGTATGTTTCACATTCTCAGTGAAAAATCATCTTTGCACACCTGCATACAGACAAAAACAAGTGATTAAAAAAAACATTGTCAACATGGTCAATTTATTAAGCAGCTTCATTTAGGAAAACTATAAGTCTTTGTACCAAAAGTCAGCTGCTAAATCAATTGACTGCATTTTTCTCTCTACATTTTGCCTATCTAACATCTTTATCTAAATATATATCTATGTGTCTGTGTGCTTGTGTGTGTACCAGCTTAGTTCTGTTGCCACCTAAGTGGTAGTTGAAGTTGGCGATGGCACAGAGGGCGCTGCCCACCCTGCGGCCCAGCGGGATGTTGGGATCTGCGCCTCCGTTCAACAGCTCCTCCACAGCCTGGGGATCAGGTTCAGGACAAAGTTCAGGACAAAGTGATGCTTTGTAGGCTTCTACAGTATACGTCTATGTGTGTGTGTGTGTGTGTGTGTGGTCTACCAGCTCATTGCCACTTGCTATAGCCAGGGACAGAGGTGAGTGTCCACTCCAGAGGAGGTCTGTGCTGGCCCTGTGGGAGAGCAGGAGGGCTACCACCTTGCTGGCATTCTGCATAAAAAATATACAGAGTACTTTAAATGGAACATAATATTATTGTGAGCAAACCTCATGATTTATGTGATTTTCTGCCTTGCAATAGATGATCTCCTGTAGTTGTTAAAGCTATTAAACTTAATGCTTAGCCAGATTATTACTTTGCATTGTTCACGAAACATTGTAAGTCATGCTATTTAAAGCAAAATGAATAATATACTCAAAACAACAAATAGTTTGAGCTCTGCATGTATTTGTGTGTGTAGCATGTATTCTTTGACATTCTGGGAGACTGTGTAAATATACTCAACATGATTGGTTAGCATGTCTGCAACATGCTACAGACAGTCAATAGTATGATGTTTCATCAGTGATGGTGTGTAAAGGTGTGAGCGTGTGCTAGTACAGCATGTACTGACCCGGTAGTCATTGTCTCTCTGGCAGGCCATGTGGAGAGCCGTTCGGCCTCCTTCTTTGAGATTTGGGTTCTCATTGGGGCTCACTGATTCCTGGGCCTTCATGAAAATCTGTAAAAAAAAAAAAAAAAAAGATCTCCGACTGAAACCCTTTTCTTACCAGTTCACCCATGACCTTAAATATTACTACTAAGGTTTAAGGCTTAAAGGACGGAAACACGCAGACCGTATCTCCTTCACAGATCTCATTCTGGTCGCATGCTCGTGCGTCTGGGTCAGTGATAGCGTGGAGCAAAAACTCTGTGATTCTGGGACCTGCTGGACCTGGCAATGCTGCAGCTACATGCAGGGGATAAAGACCTTTTCTCTGCAAAAAAGGATGAGAGGATGAAGGGAAGTTGTGCTCTGCATGTTTTCTTTGTGGGTAAACAAATGTGTATCGTGTGACATTACTAAAAAAGTTCTAAAAATTTAAAAAATCTACCTCAGGAGGAAGGGGAATGTCAGTGCGAGCTCCACACAGCAGTAGTCTCCTGACGGCCTCATTGTCAGCCGCCATAATGGCTAAAAAGAGAACCGGCATGGGGACCCTGGATGCGTTGGGGTCAGCTCCCCGTTCCAGTAACAGCTTCAGGGTGTTCAAACGAACCCGGTGTCTGGTGAGACAGTCACATCGCAAACAAAATCAGTGTAATCAGAGCAGAACAAACAGTACAAGACAAGAGAGGATAGAGGTGAAACAGAACTGACTCAATTTTCATGGCAGCCATCTTGCGTACAGTCTCCTCTGTGACCTGGATGTCATAGCTCCTGACGGAGCAGGCAGACTCGAAGGACGTATTTTGGGTCAGTTCTTCGTCTTTGCCCTGCTGCAGACAGAGTTGAGTAGACTACAGTGAGTTCAAAAGAACCTTTTCAAACTAATGATAGAATGGGATCTCTGTGCTTTGTACCTGAACTCTTCCTGCGGCCTCAGCACGACATTCCTTCCACTGTACGCTGCCCAGTGCATTGTGACCGTCCAACACCTGAATGAAGCGCTGCACACCAGGCACGCCCTCACTTCCTCTCTCCTTTTTATCCTCCTCATGATGATTCCTTACTCTCTCCTCTGCATCTTCCTCTACCTCCTCCCTCACCTTAATATTCTCTTCTTTTGACCCTGTTTCTCTTCTACCACCAGACCCATCTTCCTCTCTCTTGTTAAAGTCTCTTTCCATCTCTTTCACCTCACTTTCTCCATTTCCCCATGTTTGATCACATCTGCTCTCTATCCCTCTTTCCTCCCCTTTGCTCTCATTCTCATCCACCCCTCTGCTCCTCTCTTCTCTCTCTCTAACCTTTCCCTCTCTTCCTGTCTCCTTGCAGTCTCTTTCCTCTCCTTCTCCCTCTTCCTGTTGGTCTCCAGCGTCTGTAGGGGTCTCAGGTTCATTGATGTCAGCCCAACGCTCAGTGATGAGCTCACTGTTAATAGACACTTTACTGCTGTGATGTAAGATGTGCTCTGTTAGTTTTTCTGCTGTCCTGAAAATACCAAAAAATAAATATGAAACTTAAATGAATACATTTGCTTGTTTTAGAGACATAACTAATTAAAGGATGGTAACACCGTTGTAGGGAGTGACTATGAATATGACATTTTCTCTCACTTCCTACTGATCAGAGAGGGGACTCTGGTTAGTGTAGTTGCTTATGGTTGTGTTATTGGTGAGGTGTGTTATTAAACCTGGGTGTGTCTGTGGTGAAGTCCACTCGGCTGATCTGGGGACTGTTCCCGCATGCAGATGGAGACCTCAAACCCTGATGACACATCACAGTGAAAGTTATTTAATTTACCGCAGATCAAGAAGTTATGAGGAAACATAAGGTGGAATCTTACTTGAGTTTTGGAGGGTGTCTCAGCCAAAGTGGTGTGCAGAGACTGCAAAGGGTAGTAGAGGACGTGACACGCAGCCAGGGCAGACATGCCTTCACAATTCAACTTGTCAACATCGACACCCCGATCCAACAAAAGATGGATTACGTCATCATGGCAGTTTACCTGACAGGTACAAGAAACAGAATGAAACCGTCAGAGAGGCAAACATGAGAATAAAACCAAAGAATAAACATTTTAATCTGTTTTTATTCATCTATTTAGTTTTATTGTATTGTATTAAATTTAAAAAAAAACATTGTAAAACCTGAATTGGATACCAATCAAACAGCAAACGAGTGAAAAACCAAATCAAGAAACTACAGGCGAACATATATAAAGAGTTACTGTGGCAGCGATCAGTGCAGTGTGTCCCTGTGAATCTGCCACGTCAGGGTGGACCAAACCGGCCTGGAGGATCTTGGACACTGCCTGCAGTTCCCCTCTGGAAGCGTGCTGGATCAACAACTCTGAACTGACTTCCAAAGGCCCTTTAGGACCAAAACTTTCCCGGTTCAGAGCGAGAACAGCTGCCACATCCCAGCCCACATTTTCAGCCAGTAGTCTGGGAGACCCACATACAAATTATATTAGTAAAAATGCTTATTTCAGCTTATTTACAAAACTGTACATACTTGTACATGATAATGTATGTCTTTTTTCACTCCTTACTGCTGCCAGCAAAATGTGTTTTTGGTACAAAACAATTCTTTTTTTTTTAAATGCATGTCTGACCTGTGTTTGTGCATGTGAGCCAGTATGCGGGGCTGTGAGGGCAGGGAGGCCAGTGGGTCCAGCTTATAGCCTTGGTAAGCATCCGGCTCCCACAGCTCACCATAGAAGAGCTGATCCAGCTCTTTCCTTCGGCCAGGGGGCAGCGGTAAGTGATCGCCATCGGTTGAGTAACTCTCCATGCCGGGGGGAAGGATAAAATCATCTGGCAGCAGATCTCCGTCCGTATCCACCTGAGGAGGATGGTGCATTAATTGATCTGTTTTGGGTTAAGTCACAAAGCTCATATTCATAGATGTTCATTGTAGCTGTACTTTACCACAGAGTCCACCCTGGCTTCTGGCTGTAGGACACTAGTGGGAGGCTGCTGAGGAGAGGCCAGGAGCAGAGAGGTCAATTAAAAATATTTTGGAAATTTATACATGAAAGTGTACATTTTGCATGAAGAAAGTCCCCATGATTTAGGTTTCACTTCCTGGTACAACAATGTTTTGCTTATACAGTGTTGGTGGGCTTGGAAATAAAAAAAACACACACAAGTGCAATGAGTATTTGTCTTATAGAGACAGTTTGGGGCAATCCAATTAGGAGAGAAGTTTTAGATATTCTTGGCTGGGTCAAACATTGTTGAAGCTGTGAACTCAACTTTTTGTTGTAAAAACAAAAAGACCATTTTAAACCAAATATATGTATGAAAATGAAGATGTTTTCACCTGGCATACCTATTCATCTGTGGGTGAGAAAGTGGTCAACCATGTACCTGAGACAGGGAAGCTGTGGTGGCAGCTGGGTCCATGTAGGCAGCATATTCAGGAAAGTTCTTCAGGCTAAAGCCCTCTTCTACAGCGGTACAGAGCCTTATCAGGCGCCCTCCGAGCCACAGACCCACATCCTTACACCCATCTGGATAACTCGCCACACCTGGACCAAACCTCTTGTCAGCATGGTACAAACCCTGAGAGGAGGGGAGAGCTTGATTTCTATTTACTGATATTTAAAAAGAAGTTAAAAAAAAAACTATCCAAAGCTTAAAGTCATTCATCCATTTTACCTGAAAGGTGGCTCCATCAGGGAACAGATGTTGTCCATATCCTTCCTTTCTGTTGAGGTAGAACTTGCCAGTGAACTTGTGGCCTGTGGACCAGCAGTACAGTGCGTCCCCATGCTTGTAGTCTTTGTAGAAAGAGCCCTCATAGAACTACAAGTAGCAGACAGGGAAATAAAATAGTGACTTGCTCTTTATTAAACTTCAAGAAAAACTGACAGGAGACAGTAAAATATGTCATTATGTTTTATGTAAGATATTTTGGGAAAAGGGCCTCTTATGTCATTTTTTGCCTGATTATCGTGTTCATTTGACATTAACGTTACCTCTCCGTTACTCCAGGTGTACCTCCCTTTACCGTGTTTGAATCCGTTCACACATTCTCCCTCGTATCTGGACCCATCCGGCATCTCATGAACACCGAGGCCTTGTCGTCTCTCCTCCCCGCTTAGGGCTCCTCTGTGACCGTCTCTTCGACTCCCGGTGCCGGGCTCCGCACCTCCGAGCCCCGGTGCTCCCGCAACACCTTTGCCGGTCGACAGCATTTTAACCGGAAGATAACTCACCTGAATCCAGTCGGAGCGCAACAACAATTAGTTTAGAGTTAACGTTACAGGTTTGCAAAGGTCTTTAGGAGAAGACTTTAACTGTCAGAAGTCAGATTTTAACTTTTCTGTAAGCGGCGGCGCCGGTTGTCATGTCAACAGCATAATGATCTGAGGTAGGGAGAGAGCTCTCACGCATGCGCAAACGAAAGACAAAGGAAGTACGAAAAGTTTTTAAAAACTATGATTTTTAGTCTCAGTAATACTATTTTTAGGCTCCATTACTAACCTTAAACTATCCCCTGTCCAACAATTAAAGCAACAAATGCACTTGTTCGTAGACTACTTAAGAACTGTTGGGGTTTTTGTTTTGCTTTAGATATCCAACGTCCTTCAATCACCTCTGTTTGGTGACATTTTTATTTTTTTTTAATTACAGGTTTTAGAAATTAAGAGATTGTTGTTGAGTAAG